GCTCGTCGACGAGCCCATACGTCTCCTTGAGCTTCCTGAAGTCCGTCACCGTGCCGTGCAGCTCCTCGAGGATCTGCTTGGCCAGCGCCCTCAGCTGCGGGTTGCTCCTCTCGCTCCGGTCCAGGTGCGCCTCGAAGTTGCCCTCGACCACCCCCCACTCGCGGCCCCAGACGACGAGGCGCATCTCCTCGATGCGCACCTTGCACAGCAGCTTCTGGCTGTCGCCGTCCATGTGCGTCGCCTCGGTGAAGTACCCGTACGCCTTGACGCAGCCGTGGAAGAGCTGGCCGAGGAAGCCCACGACGCCGACCGTCGTGCCGATTATCTCGGCCATGCTTCCCCTTTTTTTCTCTTCTGCTTTGCTTTGCCCCTTTTCCCCTCCTCCTCCAGTTCTCCCTCCCAAAGGTCTTCCTTTTCAACGCCGGGAGTTCAAGAATGGCCAGGTCCCTTCAATGAACTGCGGGAGAGAAACCGAATCATAGGACACCGCAACGTCTACCACACAGAGAGCCAGTTGGTGGGGCGATTTTCTCTCTATTCACACAACGGCCGTCCTTCTTTAGGGGCCCCCGTAGCACTGTAACAGTTGTGGGTAAAGCGCGTGTGATATGAAGAGCCCATCCACTCTGGGGAGATGGATTATACCTCTCAGAAGCGGTGATATAAAGACTCAAGCAAATAAGAGAAGTGGCCAAGAGTCTACGGGGGGGCGTTTCTGTAGCAAGTCAGCCAATCCACTGACAAACATTGAACGATCTTGCTGCTTCCACCAGCTGCTACGTTGAGGGGAGAAGCCCCACAAATCAGTTCCGTACAGTGACCGGTGTTTGTTGTGTTATAGAGCACCAACAACATGGAAATATTCGAGAGCCAATACTCTATCAATTATCAATTGATATCATTTTGTTATGCCATATTAAGCCCACTTGTTGTAGGAAGCACTCTACTCATAGGTACTCTTCAATTTGAGTTGAAGTCAACCAGGAAAATGCGAAGAAGAGTAAGTGAGCTGCTGTCATCGGAACAGTCTGTCGCCATACTTTCTCCATATCCTTCTCCAAATGTCCCGTCACTTATTATCAGCGGTCGTGTTCTGTTGAATATGGGAATAAAAATAAATAAATAAGAAGAAAAAATAAATAAGGTTATCCATTCCCTAGAGCTATCCCCCCTGGAATCGCTATAATGTGTAGAAAAGGTCTAAATCAACTCCGATTTTGCAAAGACTAAAGTCTGGTCGTTTTACCCACACAGAAATCCTGCGACAAGATCCATACTCCAAAAAAAGAAAAGGTCAAGGTAAGATCTCGGAACCATCATCGACGTCCATTGGGGAATCAGCGGTCCCCGAATCATGTGGCTGTCATGTCGTTTAGAAAGAAGGGTCTTAGTAGACCTTCTTCTTCTCGTCAATGCTGAACTGGCCAGGGCCGCTGTTGACCAGCAGGAGAAGGCCACCAACAATGGAGAGAACCTGGAAGAAATCGTACTTGGCGAAATCCTTGTGGGGGTGCTTCTCGTGGAGCTATAAAAGAAAGAAAATTGTTAGCCATTGCCTTTTATGTACCTTTGCCAAGGCTCGTTTCGGGAATAAACATACAGTCCAGAAGTTGTTGACCAGCAAGTTGAAGATGCTAAGGATGACAACGAGAAGAGTGGCACTGAACTTGGCCTTGAAACCAACAACGACCATCACGCAGGCACCAGCACCAATGATGGAGACCAGGACACGTCCGATAGTCCACTGGCCGCTGAAGACGAAACCGACGAAGAGGAAGATGAGGAGGACACGTCCAGCGAGCTGGAAGTACATCTTCCTGTCCTTCTCATCGATCGAGGGGAGACCGGCGAAAGCCTTGGTCTTGCGTACCCAGGAATCAGACAGGACCATCAGGAGACCACCAATGACTGAAAGGTTTCGGAGGAAGAAGTTCAAGTCGAATATGAGACCGTATCCGAGGGCTTGGGTGACGACGACGGCCATCAGACCGGCAACAGCATAATCGGAGTGCTTCTTGATGATGACGAGAATGGAGCAGGAGGCCATGACGGTCATGTTACTAATAAGGAAGAGATGTGTAATTCCAGAGGGAACTGTGATTCACATTGGTCAGTCTCGGCGCACTGCTTGGTATAACCGCGTCCAGCCGGTTTCTGGGGCTGGGAAGCATATCTTACTGTGTCGGTATTCGTTAAGATAGGTTAGCTGGTCATTCCACTGGGTGATGATACGGAGAGTATCCTCGAGGAAGGTCACGACAATCAAGAAGCGACCAATGGCTGGAAGGTAACTATATCAGACTCATCGTCAATTCGCTATCCACAAATACGCGGGGATCCATCAATTGGGCCGACTCACGGCTTCACTGGCTCGCTAACTGTGTCGAGGAAGTCCTCAACCTTGCTCGTGTATGGCCGGAGCTGGTCGAGGAAGCTTCCAGCGGGCTCCTGGCTGGGAGCGGCTCCGTACGAGGGAGGTCCGGATTGGAAGCCATAGCTGGCGGGGCCACGTTGCGACATGGTTGTGTGGTGTTGATGTGTTTGGATGAAAGTAGGTACGTGTACGTATGTTATGTGTGAATTCCCAACCGGCGGGATTGCGATTGGGTCGTATTGACGAATCTGAGAAAGCTGTGGCAGCTGCTTCAGGCCGGCCTGATTGTGTTCCGGGTTGCACGGTGAGGCGGGACGACGGGCGGCGATCAACGAGGCGCTTCAGCTGGGGGCGTTACTTGCTGGCAAGTCGAGTGAGCAAGGAAGAAGAGGAAGAAAAGAAAAAGAAAATAAAGCTTCGAACGGCGCTCGGGGGGGACGAGAGGGGGTTCTTGAGCAGAATGGAGGTCGGGTTCCAGAGAAGGAAGGGAGGAAAAGTGTGATCAATCGAGTCTGAGATCGAGTGACCCTCTTAGATGGAATCGAGCACTTTGTAGGTAACTGTGTCCTTTCAGAAATCCCGTGATGGATGCAGGGCCGAGGTCTCCACTTTTTCTTGCTCTGCAGGTGCGGTGCACATTAAAATAAGTGGTGCTGGTGCTAAGGTAAGAGGAAGGGAGGGAGGTCGCAGCAGGTCTGATATCAACCGACCTACAATCCTTTATTTTAGTACCTTACCTCCATTACGTCCCGGTCCAAGTACCGCACCTATGCACGCTGTTTCTTACTACGTGTGGATGACATGGACTCCGCCGGCCTCACACAAATAGACAGAATCTTATGTATTACCTAGGCCCAGGATGTACTAGGCCCCTCCCAACCCCCAACTTACGGCTGGCTGTACTTTGTGCTTGCTTACCACAGTTTTCCTCAATGCGACCTCCAAAAAGCATCACCTCCACCGCCGCCGCATTAGGTTCGTCGCAATCCTACCAATTGGAGTCTGATTCTCTGCGTCCTACCTACACGAGACGCATACTTCGTCCCCGAAAGCCACCTGGGCTGGCGCGCGGAGGTCGGTACGTTTGCGGCAGTCGGTACCAAGATCGCAAGTACCATGGCCCTCAGTGATTGGTTGGTGGGCAGAAGGTAGGATTATGATTATTATTACCTCCACAGACCCTGCTCCGGACACCTCACCTGCAAGTGCCCAGAACGGACCTGTCAGTGGGTTCCTCAACCTGGGCTGTAACCGGGCTAAGATGACCTCAGTCTGGATGGTGGATGCTTACTTTCCCTCCATGGATTCCTGGCAAGCGCTAGCATAAGAGGGACAGATCCTTCAGATGCAGGTCTCTGGCAGTATTACTGTGAGGACTACCTACCTATGTCCGAAGTTCACTGCTCCCAACACACGTAACTCCGTCTACCCAAGGCGCCCGGCATGTACCTGCATTGCGGCAGTGGCCGTCAGGGTGGATTGCGTGCCCTAAATAGAGCACCTGGTGGTTAATAATAGAACTGGACTTTACTGGGCTGGCCGCCCTGAACCTCCGTCAAAGTGCAATTTTTAGCACAGATGGGCCACTAGCACTCTGCAAGCCACATTTTCTGGCCGGAAATTTGTGGAGAGGCCATCACCAACACACACATACACTTCCCGACAGCACGCGAGTGCCAACATACAGATGTTTTGAGCCTTTCTTAAGCGTATGTGGGGTAAGGGCCAAGGGGAGTTCAAGAACTAGTGCCCATACACAGGAGACATCGTCAGAAGCATACCAGCTTTCCCCAGTGCCATAGCTGCCAGAATCCTGACCCAATCAGCCACGCCCAAGTTGGGGCATTTGTTTTTACGTGTGGCGGATAGCCCACAACTCAATCAATCGGCGATAGTGGGGGCATTCAGGCCAAGGGAAACGTTTCTGTGAACATTTGAGCCAAATTCTCGCTGGCTCCGGCCTCTCCAATTCGCCCATAGCACAGGGTCGAGCGCTTTGGTCAAATCCTAGCGTTCCCAGCACCATTTGTAGCTGTATCGTAGAACACGGCAGAAATTTCGAAAAGAATCATTTTGTTATCTAAGTACAATATGCGTGGAGATCATTAGGTAGCATGTTGATCCCATCAGCGGACTCTCGCGTATTGTGATGGAGGAATCATGAGCCAATCTCAGGCTGCCAGATAGGGTTCCATCAGGATACCATCATTGAAACCGTACAAGGACTTTGGTTGTGAAAGGTATCATTGTGTCCCACAGTTTCTATCGGCTTGAGTTGAGCCTTGGGGCAGTGCTGAAATCCTATTCTGCTCACCTTCGTTTCAGTAATTGATCTCCATTCTCGCATGAGGCCCGTTGTTGCAGTGCATGATTGAGGCCGAAGCCTGAAAGCTAATTCGACGATTCTTATCTCATGGCTCAAATACCCCCATGTTGCATTCTGGCAGATATGCCCAAATGGCCTCAGAGTATGCCTCACTGCCGCAAAACTGTTGAGACCCATCTGTCCCACGTAGAAGCCTACACCAGTGCATGACTTATTAGAACAAGAGTAAACCCTACGGTTTTCATATGTCATGTATTTGCCTGCATTTTACTTCCTTTTCCGGCTGATACACACATCACCATGAGACAGAGCTCCTCGGAAGAAAGATTGACGATGTACCTAAACAGCCGCCAGCCATCCCCTGAAGGAGGGGTCCCCTTGATAGAGCCGTCGAGCATTCCGCTGAACATTCCCATTGTTCAGAACCGTAGGCCGCAGACAGAATTCAACAGGAGAGGCGATAAGAAGGGTATGGTCCAGGTAATTTCCCCGGCTCCAAACGACATGTCGAGCCACGATAGCGAACAGCAGCTTCTACTGTATAATTCCGCCCAGATATCATCCAAGACCGATGATTGTCGTTACAAATCTGCTCGAAATCCCCGCCAGCAGCCGGGTCCAGGCTGTCTGACTGGCTGGAGAGGTGGTCTAAGCATAGCTGCCGGGTTGACTCTCCTTATTCTGATCGGCAACATCACAATCCTTGGAGTCTTTTCATCGCCGGCTTACCGAAGAGACTATAGTTCTGCTACTGCCCCAATTCGCACGGGAGAATGTGACGAGATCAAGAAATTGAACTTCGGCATCCACCTTATCATCAACATCGCGAGTACTCTCTTGCTTGGGGCAAGCAACTATTGTATGCAGACCGTTAGTGCTCCTACACGCCATGATATAGACATCGTCCATGCTAGTGGTAAATGGCTACAGATTGGCGTCCCCAGCCTTCGAAATCTGAGGTTCATTGGAAAGAAGAGGGTCTTCGTTTGGCTGTGTCTGGCCATTACGTCTATTCCCCTTCACCTGGTGTAAGCATCTCACTTCGGTTTTTAAGTATTCTCAATCCCAGGTCTAACTTCTCACATGGTTAGTTACAACTCGGTGCTCTTCATGTCAACCAGCTATAACAAGTACCGGATATACTTTGCCAACGAAAATTTTGCATCATGGGCGCGTTATGAGGAAAATAATTTCAATATCACTACAGAAATGGCGCTGCAGCTCATAGGCCGCGAGAGATACCAAGCCTTACCCAACAACGACTGCATCGAAGCTTATGCCAAAGATTTAATACAAGGCAGGGGGAACGTGATTCTGGTTATACAGCCACCAAAGAGCTGCAGTGTCTTCCAAGAATATGAACCCCTAGAGGTCTGTACGGCCCCGTCCACTACATCCTTATACGCGTCCCATAACTACAAGCATGGTGTGAAGTCGGACAGCCAACAGAACTGGTACTACTGGATATGCTCCCAGAAGAGTTATATTCAGAAAGATGAGGAAGGCAAGGATATAGTCTGCAACAAGGACGCGTGGGAGAGGAAGATGAGCAACGACATCTGGGAGGTGGCCGGGGTGAAAGTGAAGTACTGCCTAAGTGAGCAGACGCCCAGCCGGTGTCGGCTTCACATCGCCACAAACCTCGTCGTTGTAGTCATTGCTTTCAACTTGGCCAAGTTGCTTCTTATTACTTTAATCCTTTTCGGCAACTGGGCTGACTGGGACCCTTTGGTAACTATCGGCGATGCTATTGCATCATTCATCAAACGCCCCGACCCGAATACAGGGGGGATGTGTCTATTGGCGACTGAGGAGATAATGGAATTTTGGGGGAGCAAATGCACACGGCCCCAAGAGTATCGGCTGCAGAGTGACCGCTGGGCTTCGGCTGTGAGCACAGGTCGCTGGATTATTGCAGTCTGCTTGTAAGTTAATTCAACCAGTTACACTACGATAATTCGCACAGCTGACATATCCCCATAGGATTGCGGCCACATTGTCTATTCTCATTTGCCTCTTGGTTTGGGCTATTTCCAGCTTGCCTCGCTCCTCCTTGGGGGGCGATGATTTCAAATCCATCTGGTCGTTGGGCGTTGGCAAAATCAGTCCATACACCCTTATATCTGCGTGGGACGTTCCCTCTGCAGGCGATGCGGCAGTTGTTTGCCTTGTTCTTCTTACCAACTTACCACAAGCGTTGTTCTCGTTCCTCTACCTTATCTTAAATGGGATCCTCACTTCTATGGTAGCTTCACGGGAATGGACTGATTACGCATGCCATGTTCCTAAAGCCCTCCGTGTCTCTTTTCCAAGGAGAGGACAACGATCTACGTTTTTCTTGGGGCTACCATATCGGTACAGCCTGCCATTAATCATTAGTTCGGTATTGATGCACTGGCTTATCTCACAGAGCTTTTTCATGGTGCAGATGGTTGAGGTTCGCACGTGGGAGTCTCAAAAGGACCAAGAGGATATCAAAATAACGGACATCACAACCACGGCCGGGTATTCTCCCCTAGCCATGTTTCTAGCAGGCTTCGTCCTGCTGGTAGTCTCGTCCACAATAGCTAGGCTGGGGGGGCTCAGATTCAAGCAAGGCATGCCATTGACCGGGAGCTGCAGCGTAGGCATCGCAGCCGCGTGCCATGCGTACGAGAAAACATCGAGCCGAAAACCGTTGGCATGGGGTGTGGTGGTTCCGGCCAATCGCACTCTGGATGGTGTTGGACATTGCTCCTTCTCCAACAAGCAGGTAGACCTGCCAGAGCCAGGGAGCTGGTATGCTTGAAATTAATATGACGCGATTGCGAATGGTTGGATATCCATCTGATGTTGGGATAAAGCAGCTCGAGGCGCCTCATGTAGTGGCTTTCATTGCATGCTGCCAGTGCTCTCGGGCTACGGGTTTGTTTCTTGTCTTCAAAAGAACGGTAAGCGCGAAAAGCTTCTTCACGGATTCACACTGAGTACGTGGGGGTGATATCAAGAGTTTACCAAAAATGCATTATCCTACTCTATCGTGATCACAGGCCAATCCAACAGTGGGCCTATGAAACATCATCGAGAATCATCAAACCTCCAACATCATCATATGCGACTCTGCCCTCGTCCACAGCATTCTGCATAACACTCCGAAGAACCGCCTTCTCTCCGGTGACAGGATCCCACTCCCAGCCTTCTCGCATCCACATCCATCTCAAACACGCTCGTAGCTCCTTGTCATCGGGTCGTACTCTCATCCACTCTGGCTGAAACTCTGGCTCCCTGCCCTTCCCGTTCCAATCCTCGGCGCGTCCCAAAAGCACATCTCGGCAGAAGATCCGCCAGCTGTCAATGGCATACTTGCCCTGAGTCATGTGCCCGATCTCCCAGGCGTCTGCGTCGTCGTCGTCATCATTGGGTGTCAACATCCCCGTCTCCATATCTTCGGCAAGGTTTCCATGGTTGAGATCCGGATCCTCTCTACGATCGTACTTCCTCACCCTGTAGACTTTTCCCGCTCTGGGTGGGTCTTCGATGAAAGCTCTCGAGTACCTCTGTAGGAATCTCAGCCGATGGATAGATAGACCCAGGTGGCGGATCATATCGAGTATCTCTGTGGCATTTGATTCATCTCCTAGGTCGGCCGGCGTAGGAAAGCGCTCCTTGATCGCATAGAACACCGGTATAGCGGCAGTGCCCTTTGTACGTATCAAGAATGTGACAGCCACAAGGAGCCAGAAAGGTTCGTAGGCCAGCTTCTCCTGTATAAGGCCGAAGCAAGGTGAGGTCAGGGGTGGGAACGGCACGCAAGAAACCATGCCTGCCCGGGGTCTCCCTGGCGTATGTGCCTTTTGAGGAGATTCTGGGGTGGTGAAGTATGGCGAGGCATCATTAGCTCTGCTACGTCGTTCCAAAGAACTCTTGATTGGGCTTCTTCGTTCGGGAGAAGCTTTGGGGCCAGGCACCGAGGCCAGGCATACGGTGGGCTGTGTAGCAGGACCTTGTGTTGGGAAGAGCAAGTTTGGTGATAGGGATGCAGACGGATCAAGATTTGCATGGGGTGGTGAAACCTTGGGGGTGGCGTCTCTCACGGAAGAGATCCGATCTTGTGCTCCCTCAAGCCAATAATGGGATGTGATAGCCTTGCAGGCTCGTCTCCTAGGTGTTGCAACTTGGGCATACGGGGCAGGGCGCTCAGGGGATGACGCGATATTCGCCTCCTGGTCCTCATGCAGCTCAAGGGATTTGGCCACGGCAATGAGACGATCCGTTTCTTGCCAGGGCCGCACTTCGGGTTCGATTTCATCTGGGCTCTTGGAAGCCAGGTGTTCCAGTCTTTTCGCCAGCGCAATTAAGCGATCCGTTTCCTGCCATGGTCGCGGATCCGGAGGGGCAATCACACGGTTCAGGCGGAGGATCTCCCAAATAAATGTTAGTAGGTCATTCCCGTCGAGGCTTGCGGGGTTGACATCTCGCGATTCCTTCATTGAGCTGGCACATTCGATGAGAGCTGCCCAGTCATCTGCCCAAGCTTCCAAGCTCTGGGTAAAGAGCTCAGAGTAGTCATTGTGATGCGATGTTTGGATATTGACGCCTCGGAACACAAAATCCGCAAATTCTTCATCAAAGTCTCCAAAGACGCAAAGCAAGTCACGGCCGGTGCGATGCCGGCTGCGGGATATGCTTTCGCCCATAGGTTTTGGTCAATACCTTAATGGTAGATCATGTTGATAGTTCAAGTTGAGACTAAGGTGAGCCGGCTCAGTTTTTGAGGTCAGTTGCACGAAGGTACTTCGAGTCTAACATTCTCGACTCTTAGCCCTTCATTTGATATGTGGCCGTGGCGTTCAGGCCTCGTGGTCTGCGCATATATGAATATCTCAATCTGGTGAAAGGTCAAGACCGCGTGAAGTATCTAGATGAGGATTTCCGTGACTGGTGGCCATCATTTAGTGCCCCTGGTGTCTTGTTGCTTTCAATGTTAGTGGCTTCATCCCCTCCGGGTTAGCAAGGTTTGTTAAGCAATTGCACTACCAGAGCCACGTGCCCGCCTAGCCAAGCACCTGTGGGCTTCAAACCAAACACAATGGTAGTAATAAGACATGGGACATTTCTACCTATCTATTACTAACTAAGAAATTGATTAAATTCTGTTATCAAGTAATCACTTGCCTGGATCCTCCTATTGAATGGAAGCCCCTACTTGGTGCAATACAGCTGTGGTGCTCGAAATCTCTGCTATAGGTTAGCAGTTAGGTTTTCGGCCTTTTTTTTTTCTTCGGTCTTTTTCCTCGGGCAAGGCGCTTGGCGCACTGTCCGCTCCGTTCATTAGGGGCCATGCACTAGCTGGCGCCACCAATATTTAGCGGTCGGACCTCAGCAATAGTGACGGAACTCTGAGGTTGTATGACGATAAACTGCCTCGACGCGCTTTCCGATCTATCCTATCAGGCCTGGGATGTACATATGCAGATTGCGCGCCTCATTGCCGGCTCACCCATTCTGGTTAGTAATGGGGAGGAGACAATGCTCCCCTCAACTTGGCCCCAGATATGATAATATCGGGCATATAGCGCCTGGAGATATCTCCTCGGTGAAGAATCGTCGTTGAACACCATGGGGCGAAAAGACGAGGCGAATATAATATAATTTCTGTGGCTGCAAGCCTCAATTGCATGTCTTACTTGCGTCTACCTTCGTTCGCATCACTTCCCGTCCGTCGAGGCTGTGTGCAGGCATGACAGGAAAGCAAGGATCTGGCTTCAGGCATTGGGTCGCGTGACGGTAGATACCAACTGCTACCCGGAGAGTTTCGGTGACCCATCTCATGATCTGATTGCCCATCACCACGTCAATGGGCATCCATCCCCGCTGGGGCTGGGGCCAATTCGATGCCTTATCGTTCGAGATGTGAACCAATATCTAGATGCAGCTCCAAGTTGACGGCGGGCGATGCTAGCCTCGCCCTTGATCGCATCTGACGCGGCAGCAAATGCCCCTACAATTTACTACACTTTCCGGCGCTGAACGTGCACCCGAAACACACATTGGGATTGGCGGCGACCCAGTTCTCGAATCACGTGCTTGGTCCAGTCATCTCAGGACCCACCTCTCCTTCCCCGTTTGCATTTGTGAGTGTGCTAGCCTGAGGTACGGAGAAGTACGTACCGTCTTGGGAGTTGCAGCACGTCCCCGGTTCTACCACCTTCGCCGCCCTGTCTCTCTCTCCAACCATCCATCCATCTCCTCTAACCTCCTCCACCTCCCATCCAACGCCTGGCGTTATCAATCTCCTACCGATCCTCGATTCGATACGCGTCTCAGAAAACGATCATCAAGATATGAGTAGTCGCGGTGGTAAACTAGCACCAGAAGTGAACCGGTGAGTCGCTCCCCCGAGTGCTCCTTATTTTGTCGCCCGGTCGCCAAGTTTCCTTGACGTTGAATTACGGTGTTACGGTTCGCATCTCGGATTGGACCGAAACTTCCTCGGACATGTTCGCATCGTCCCTCGACACACATACACGAACCTTCAATCGACCTCGTATTCATTACATTATCGTCGCTGTGTTTTTTTTGCCTTTGATGTCATGTGCTAACTTTGAATCTTAGAGCTCTGTTCGTGAAGAACCTGAGGTACAATTGAAACATGGCGTTCTTGACCGACTGACCCCGATGCTGACATCAATTCCTATAGCTACAACGTAACTCCAGAAGAGCTTTTCGACCTCTTCGGAAAGTTTGGCCCTATTCGGTACTATTTCCCTTATCGTCACGCTCGCTTGCGCGCGTGTCTAATTCATATTTTGTTTGGCCGGCACTGACTCTTTTCTAGCCAAGTCCGACAGGGCATCGCGAACAATACCAAGGGCACCGCCTTCGTCGTCTACGAGGATGTAATGGATGCGAAGCAGGCTTGCGACAAGCTGAATGGTTTCAACTTTCAAAGTCGTTATCTAGTTGGTATGATCCATGCTCCTTTTTCTCACCTACTTTTCCCAATCGCGCCCGCTAATTTTTTCTCTCCCACAGTTCTCTACCACCAGCCAGAGAAGATGGCCAAATCAAAAGAGGACCTCGCCGCCCGCCGCGAATCTTTAGCGCAGCTCAAGAAGCAGCATGGCATCGATTGACAATCCGACCGGTCTGTGGACAACCTGCACAGGAAGAAGGTGCATTCTTCCTCGCCTGCAGGCCGGTCTTCCGTATCACCTAAATCTCTGTCGCCCGATCTAAAGACGATTCTGCGAACAGAGAAGTCGAGGTCCGACACCGCCTCAGACGATCACGCCCGCGCCCGAGGGGTTCGCTTCGTTGAAGGACAGCGTCCTAGATTGCAAGCCGTGGCGTGATACGATGTATTCTGTACCAGTAATGACCATGTAACGCGACATCCATCAAAATGGACAGGCACTGGAGGATTCGTTTCTAATTGCGGTTTTTTATTTATTTATTTATTCGTGGACTTATTACTACTCTGCCCACGGGCTTCTCGACTTCTTGACAACACTGGGCGGTTGGCCTCGAGTATCTGAGTGGACTGTGATGGATTCGACAATTGGAAGCATGCCTCAGGGAGCGTTACGGAATCTATAGAAGGATGGTTCCTCCTTCATCCCGTCGTACCAGGCCTGGTGCGCGGTTCATCCTGCTTGTCTCGACGCGAATGCTTCCCATTTCGTCTTGTCTTGCAGCACGTGGATAGTTACCATGAGATGTTTTAGGGTCACATTCATGAAATTGCAATAAAATACGTGACCAATTAAATGGAAACACGCTCACTCTCCAAACAATCCTGACATGAAG